CTGTGGATTTCGTTGAGATGACGACTAATAATTTTTGCTGTAATAATTTCATCGAAATTCAACAATTCGTATTGGATAACTCGTATCAATGGACAGATAAAACCGATAACACTCGTATTGGCACAGTCAAAAGTCTTTGAGACACTATTCTCACAAAATTGCTTGGGCAAGAGTATAGACTTAGGAAGTCACTTTTTCAAAAAATGGTTTTTTTTAGAAATGAGAAATGTCTACGCTTAAAGGAGACATGAAACTTCATTGTTTATACGGTTGCCTAATGCATAAATATTTTATGATATAACATTGATTTTATACAATCGCATCAGTCAACACACTCGCTTAACTGCCCTTTAGCAAAATACGATCTCGCTTGTATGTATCCATCTAAGCTCGAGTCTATAGTTTGGCAATCATTTGTTTTCTACTACGAAGGGTCAAATTAGCACGATATAGCGACATATAGCAATGCGGTGCAATAATGGCTATAGATTAATTGAGAAGAATGCTTGATTTCGCCATTTATCACTACTCCTTAGAGATATCTACAGTTTAGGCCCTGCAATTTACCCTGTATTGGAACTCAGGATGTCTTGCAAAAATGAAACATGCTCCTACACTTTTACATACACTTTTGGCACACATTAAATATTTTTCGTATATAAGTAGAGTTATGAGACTACGAGTAAATCAGTTATATGAGATGTATTCATCCTATTTCGTTTAAGGAGATGAAGGACTGGTAATATAATTTTCCCATAGTGATATTAATAGATCTGGCATTTCGATTGAATTTCACATAGCCTTGCTTTCCGAAAAGTTGTTCTGAGTGGGAGTCGTACCGTGACAGTGCAGCATGTGAGCTCGACACGTTAACCCTTCGGCCACATTGCCACAAGTGTCCTTGGGTCACAGGGCAGATATCAATTTCGGGTAAGGCCAGGCCTTTTTTCATATCACTTTCTCTGGTAGGATTGTCGAATAAGAAAACGTATTTTTGCTATAACAATCGAATACACTACATAGTTTTCGTATGTAAGTTGAGTTTCGAGACTACGAGTAAATCAGTTACATGGGAGATAAAAAGGTTCAACTACCAGTCTTTCCTCATCTTCATCGAAATAGGGTGAATATCTCTCATATAAGTAATGTAGACAATTTAAATGGTAAAAACAAGTTTGCCTCAGTGACCCTCCCAGTATAATGGTAACATTAAATATGATTTTCACAGCACTCCTCGTCGATATTCATTCGCACCTGTGAAGAGGATTGGCTGAGAAAGCGACTATTCTCCTATTTTTGGCTCAATGTTGCTAGTGGGCTCACAGCAAAATTATAGACCACAATCCGTTGCTTCGTATTTTGACGGAAATCCCTTCTACTCCCATTCGGATTACTTTTCAATCGAGACCTTTGTAGCTCTGAGATTTTCGGGGCCAAACACTCTTTACAAATGTGCAACATGGAATTCCTTGCAAGAAGGCAGGAATCGGCAATCTGGAAGAGTCGTTTATTTAATAATTATTTAAATGAGTAGCTTTCGAGATTACAATAATGATGTGTTTGCGCATTTTAATTTAAGTGTGGTATATTTTTTGCATCCTCAACAGATACAAAATCTCCCCTGCATGAGCCTGTATTATTATTAGTAGTAATTAAAATTTATTAATTTCTATTTGTTTTTCATAATCGAGAATCACGTTTCGACTATAGGCAGGAGACATCGGGTGTTGATGCTATGCTAGGAAGAACAGGCTATACAAACTGGAAGAACAGCCTCTGTCATGAAGAGCTAAGTTGGAAAACAATATTGCTTTGTTTAAATTAGAAACTAAGACATGGCCTTCATTTAGAAAATAGCAGAGCAGAGCACAACGTTCTGTACATTAAAATAATAATAAACATAGGCTACTTTCTTAGGCAAAGACCTGATGAATTTATAGAAAAGTTTCATTTCATAATCACGTTTCATTTTGTCCTGATATGTGTCAGAAATGTATATATATTCATGCTTCGGTCATTCTGTAGAGAAATATAGGGACATATAGACTGGCTCTTACACATGGCTGATAAAGTTTGTTTCCGGGAAGAGATACTACCTAGTGTTAGCTGATCTCCCTACCCTAAATGATACATAATGAGACTTAGAATGAAAGGAATACATATCATAGGCAAAATGGTTTGAATGGATTTTATGACTGACGATGGACATGAAAAGAACCCAAACGGCTATTCAGCTGAGAGAATTTCCACTGATGATAATTGGCTCAATGAGTATGGGCATGATGGTGAAACGTAGAAGGTAAATAGAGAGCACATTTACTCACGCTGGCAATCTAGAAAACCCGAACTTAGAAATTGCCGATAAAACAGTTTGTACAGACGCTCATTCGCTTCGACAACATTTTACATGTACGAATCGGTGCAAGTGTCCAGGTAATGCATACCGGCCTGTTGACCTAGCATAAAGATAACAGCTCAATTTGACTACGATGGTAAAAACAACTTTTAATATGGAACTTTTGAATGGAAAACCTACATGGACAGTTAAAACTTAGAACAGCGGTTATTCCAATTACTAACATTTGTGCACACACGCCCAAATTAAGACTACACCAACAAAGACTTTCGCATCTCTGACTAATTTTCTGCCACGTTCCGGGCCGGATGTTGGTAGACAGAAAAAACACGGTCAGCATCTAAAAAGCCTACCTTCGTTTACATTCTGATTTTTCTAAAATGCTAAAGCTAAGTGTACTGCAATAAACACTTTTTGAAGCCAATAGTTTCATGGTCCATTTGGCCAGCTTTGTACGATACCTGTCTGCATAAAATGCCTCGCCTCGCATACCAACAAAGTGGCACCTCCGGAATAGTATGTATTGTAGACATCGTTAACTAATGAAAAGTTGTATTAAGAACTTACTCATTCTGGGTCGCTTAGACTAATTTACAGACTGATAGTTGAGTTTTTCTCACAACGAGATGCGTAAGTTCTTATTTAAGAATAGTTGCTAATCTCGAAAGCTACTCATATGGAAAGCAAAGAAATGCCTTTCAAGTAGCTACAATTAAGCCCTAATCGACCAACTAGCCAACGAATTCCCTCCTAAATTGATGTTTATTCAAGTAGACGATAGAAATGCTGATCAAGAGAGCGAATTGCCTTCCGTAAAGCCCAGAGAAATTCTGACTGGCCAGCCTGTTTACCAATCTGGTTACCGGCTTGGCTATAGACCTGCAACTAAAAAGACTCGCGCCATACAATTCTTCGTGTCTGTCGGACTCGATTCCCAAGTCGAACGAGAGAATCGAGATGAAGAAAAAGATACAGCAATTTCTGCCAAGTGGACTTAATCTCAATCCAAAATGAGTTACTGTGATTCACAGGCTGTCCCATGAGAAGACCCTGCTAAGGATGAGAACCCGGCAGGACTGGACTTGCATAGAGTAGAGCAGGCTAGCAACTAGCCGATTTAAAGGACAAGTTGCAGAGCACGAGAGCCTTGCGACAACTTAACTGAGAAATACACTATCAAAATAGCTTGTCAATAGAAATTAATTTATGTATCTAGATGCTATTAAATATGAGGGAATAATCGAGGAAATATTTTTCTGGTTAACTAGAAAATGGAAAAGAGTTGACAAAATTAACTAACAGACATCGTCTGGGCAACCGCCTAAAAGTGTCGAACCAGCAACGCAGGTATACAGAATAAAGAGGCTGCTAATCTTGGTGGGAGAGACCGCTGGTGGGGCATTCTCACAAATGTGAAATTTCAACAAGCATTATTTCTAGAACAAGCAGACAAATCCTGAATCCTTCACTCAATAGTGGTTAACCACTGAGAGCATCTCTTAATGGAAAAATTTTTAAAGTTTTCTTAATCTGAATTCTCCCGTCTGCCATACTGAGTCCACAGATTGCCAAATTTCACACTTTTTTCTGATTGAATGCTTGAATCGGATCATAGGATATGCCCTGGTGCTGAATGATTTCGCCACTTTTGCCTGGCCCAGTCCTACAACTATATTTCTGGTGAGCCAAACTTTGTTGCAAGCAGGCAGAAAGGTGAGGTCTAGTTGTACTAGTTCATAAGTGAGTCCCAGTTAAATGCAGATAGGATGTTCCCCATGGACACTTCATGCCCAATTATTTAAAATCTCACAGCGACAGTAAGTATGATTGGGTGCAGATGGCATGTGTGAAATACCAGCCTACATGTGTAACTGTCATTCTCATATGCATGATAATTCAGGGCTATAATAATCTAATTAATAACGAGGATGTGAAGAAAAGGTTGGGTTGTACCAGTGAATTTCGTTGTCGCAACAGTTTCCACCTCATCAGGCCTTAGCAATCATCCGGGCGGAATTCGAATCCAGTCGATTAATAATCTAGAAGGATGCATAGTTCGGCAGGAAAACCAATCCTATAGCACAATGTAATGCTTAATGAATACACGATTTATGAAACGAGTCGCTTTGCTAGCCTGTGGGCCGAAACAACAAGTTAGACCATCGTCCAAAGGTGTGCACAAGACATTTACAAGACTACTCATTTATGCGCCTGCACACCTATGTGTGGCCAAGCAGTATTACCAGATTCGTCATACTGGACAGCAGAAGCGGTCGACACGAAATACATATTAAACCTCTTTCAATTTATACAAGCCGCCATTTTCAGTAGGAATTTTGAGGCTACCTTGCGGATATCAAAGTCTTTGAATCCAGTTTATCTGTAAAAATAATGAAATGGCTCCATTCTCAAAATCGAAAATGGAATAAACCCTCATTTTGATTTAATTAGACGTAATATATATTATATATATATATATATATATATAAGAAGACTAGAAGGCCTAATATAAATTTTATGCTCACATTCCCTCGCACTGGAAGTTCTCCCTGCCTGACTAAAGGGACAAGTTAAGATGACGTGCATTTCGAGGCAATTTATCCGACGAAAGGCTTTTAGGTTGATATCACCAGAAGACCACCGGAGATTCCCGGACCGGAGATAAGGGCCTGCTTGTTAAGATCGATCTATTTCTGTCATCTGCCCAAGCGTGTAGCTATATAAACCAAATTAGTGAAGACTCAAGGAGGTGCATGCATATCTTCACGTATTTGCGATATTTCAGATGAGCCCATGAAGCCGTATCCGCTATGAAGGATAGGAATGCATGTTTTGTGTGGACAGTTGTGTGAGTGCTCAAGTGCGTGTGCTCATGTGTGCATAGAAACTGTGCTCTTCGCAGGTAATTTCCGCACTCAATGACATAGCGTTGGCAGGCAAAGAGTATAAGGAGTCTCGGCGACTGAATGTACACATACGGCCTAGAGAGAGCCTAAGAAAATGAGAATATCCGACCGATGAGACGAAGCTGGACCGGATTAGGACGCAAGCAAACAAAATTCACACAAACTTAGAGCCCACGTGAGCATACAAGCGAAATGCTGGCCGCTGGTCTGATGGACACAAAAATGTATTTTCTATACACTTTTCTTATCGATTCAGGTGATGTATTAATATGTCCCCAAAACACAGAAACGGTACCGGACATAGAAGTGTCCGATTCCTCTGTTCGCTTTTACCTCCCGCCATTTTTCAACAACCGATTTAGACCCATTTCGCGCATGCGATTTCATGCTGCCTCCAACAAAATATTGTAATCTTAACGTTTTTACAGTAAAGGGTTGGTTGATTTCATAGACCCCTGCCATGTTAGGCATGCATTCTTGCCTCTTTGAACAGATTGGCAGGTACCTTGTCAGCATTTTTTATGAGTTGCGTCAGAATACGACTCATCGGATTGGCAGATATCTTAATTATGTACACACGAGTCGCGGAAACTCACCGGCTTATCCCTAAAATGCTTTATAAAAACTCTAAATCTGACCTGTTTGATGAGGTATAGAGTGATTGGGTTAGTTTCCTTCATATGCCAACCTTGAAGTGGTAAAGTAGTGGAAATATTCTGTGAAGAATTCATATGAATTTGGTAGATTGATAGATCAGCAGAGTAAGTTCAGCAGTTATGAGACAAGAAATTCCTCGAAACCCAACTATGCTTCATCTATTTTACTTAGGTATGGTACACATTCTTATCCACTTTTTTCTGGCTATACGAAACAGAGAAATCTATATCCCGGGAAGTGGATACTATCAGATTTTAAAAAAATTTATATTTCACATAATGTAGTACCTTGATGTTGTTTTCTTGGCAGGCGTTCAGGTATACCTATTTCTACTAATAGAAAACTGGAGCAGGTATCTTGTGGTTTAGTTAAGCCTAGAATAAAAGCAAGACTAGACAAAATATATGATCTGATTAGAACCAAAACCATGCTTAGAAAATCCCTTTCTCAGCCATTTTCTCAAGATGACTTACTCAAAATACAGTACGGGGGGGACGGTCTAGCGGAACGGATGTATAAGATTCGCAGATTCAAACATGATAGAAAGCTGAGGAATTTAGGAATGGAAAACAACTCACGAAACGGTCGAATCAATAATGATGTAGCTAAACTAAGTGCTATTTGTTATAGCAAAACAAAGTCATTACCTTATCCAGTATACATATAGCTTATAGTGTTAAAATCCTCCTCAAAAATAGTATAAACTATCCCTTTTCAAATGAGCAGAACCATCCAATAGAAATAATGGGTAAATTAATTAACTTGATATACAAGCTGTTTGAAGAGGCTAACAATAGGATAGAAGCAAAAGTCATTACTCATTTTGACCAGGTAATTATTCCAAAAAAAGCTTATGACTTGAATAAGATTTTTAGATATTTGCATTAAAATGATTTATTTATTTTAAGGGCGCATAAAGGTGGTGCAATAGTCATCATAGATAGGTTAAGGTACATTTCAATGACTCATAAAGATACTGACTTCTGGTGAAGGATCCCAAAGATTCTTAAGGCCAGATTTAGGGAATCGTTTAAAGTTTGTATATGCAAGGGAGAAATTGAGAAGTGGAAAATGTATGAAATTTTTCAACCGAAGGCTAGGGCAACTTCAGC